GCACAACGAAATTTAAATAGACCACCTTACTGAACGGAGATCTATGATCGAACACAGTGGAGACTTCTTAAACTTCAAACCTGAATAGCCAACTAAGGGGGTTGCCAATGTATACGGTGCATATGAAATTTCCGATGTATTGCCAAGCTATTCACGGTACGGAACCGAAACAAAATGCGCAGCGTTTAGTGAATTTGTAAAGAAAATCAACCCCATAAAGGAGCTTCCAGAAAACTTACCCCTAATTGATTTCATGTGGCTGACAGCCATCCGCAGTATGGTTAATTTGTCCGGTTTCCTTGCCAGGGAACTACAAGTCGGAACCATCTCGCAAAGCTCGTTGATATATGCTGTCATTTTATTTCGCCTTCTCCTTTCAATTTCACAGTGACTCTCCCTGAAAATTAAGCTGGTGTATGGTTAGCAAGTTACCTAGCATAACGCTCTTTGTCTTGCTGCTCGGGTCCGCCGTCCCGCTTGGAAAGCGAGTATTGGGATCCACCAATATCAATAGTGCTGAGAAAAACCGTAAACAAGTATATTGAACCTACTCTCGATCGCTCCCGACATCGCTGTCCCGTGAAAAGTCCGAAGTAGCCAGGTTTTCAACCCTATCAAAAATACAGCACAATCAATGGGTACCAACAATCGCGTAAATAGTGAATCAGTGCTAACCGAAACAAAAGCTCACATTTTGAGACATTAAACAGTTTGGAGATTGAAAATACAACATGAAAAACGATACATCGCCCGTTGTAAAATATTTTAAAACGCGCGCCTAAGATGAACTCAAGGCGGCTAAACAGTTTTCGTCAGGTCAGATCAGGTCAGGTCACAGGACAAACGGCTGATGCCAGATGAGCGTCCAGTTTCTTGCGCAGTTGAGCTCCAGTGTTCTTGATGCGCTTCAACAGCTTTCGAAATTCTCGCCCTAACTAACGGTATTTTCTTCAGTCCGATTCATTAGGGGCCACTTAAACGTTCATCTGGATAGGACCGGAATGAGCATGAAACACGAAAAAAGAAAGACTCGAGTCACCTTAGCCTACTCTTGATTACCCTCGCCCGTGACTGCGCGTCCCATTTTTCATACCACCCGACGTGCTTGTACTTACCTCAAAGGACTGTCAGTAGCAGACAGATCCTTGTTTACTCTCAATGTCAATTCAACCCTCAGAGGGCATGCGCTGAAGCTGATGAAACACGGGCCAACGGAAGTGCCAGGACACAAATTTTCTCCCTCAGACCGTGTCCTCTAAAGGTTTCACTATTTCACATCCCAAAAATGTGCTCATTGACGCCCTCCATCTGCGTCAAGCCTTTTATTATGTTGAACGCTTCTATTGGGTCGCCTCTTCTTCTTCCCTCGAGAGAGAACTGCCCCAGCTCCCACAACCTTTGGTCGTACTCCATCCCTCTGCAGTGACCAAACCCCCTGGTGAAGCGACGCTGTGTCTGTTTGAGAACCCTACTGTCCCTCACCAATTTGGACGCAATATTCCAGGTGTGGCCGGACGAACGCCTTGTATAGCGGTAGGAGAACATCAGACTTTCTCGAACATATCGCTCTTTTCAGTTGGTATAGCGCCCGTGTGACTTTCTGTGCAGCGTGACGGCATTGTTTGCTTGGCCTGAAGTCTAACCCCATTATCACTCCCAGGTCTCTAACTTCAGTTCCTCTCTTCAATGCTCTTCTGTCCCCCGGAGGGCCTATATATCGAATGGACCTTGGTTTTATCTCCTCCCCGAGGTGCTGGCATTTCGCTACATTGAGAGGGAGTTCCCACGCCAGCGACCACTGATGGACCTTATCTAAATCTCTTTGCATTCTGTCGTCTGTTGCTGCCCCATTAATCTTGATGTCATACGCAAACTTAAAGCATGGATTCTCCAGTCATTTCACTGGATCATTGACGAACAACACGAATAACAGTGATCGCAGCACGGAACCATGGGGCACTCCACTCTTCAAGTCTCCTCTCGATGACAAGACTTCGGCCATTTTTACCCTGAATTGTCTTTCCTTCAGGCTTGACACTATCAAACGTTCTACTCTAGTCACTATCCTCAATGCTTTCAGTTTTTGAGCGAGTGGCCTACGATTCACTGAATCCAAGGCCTTTTGGAAGTCAAGATAGCACACTCCCACTCGCTCTCCCTCGTCCTCTTTGTTACCTCGTCTCTTAACACCACGAGGTTAGAGAGACAGGACCTCCGCCGCATGAACTCATGCTGGTAAGGCCCTACCAATTTGTATCTTGCAAGGTATGTCAGGATCCTTTCTCTTATTATCTTTAGAATGACCTATTTACTGGTCTGTAGTTCGATCAAACGTCTTTGTTCCCTCATTTGTGAATGAGGATGACAGTGGACGGGAGCAAGTCTTTGGGAGTCTCCCCTCCTCGACGGACAAATTAAATAAGGTTGCTACTGGTTTTGTAGTGACCATGATTGTACGAAGAAAAGGAGCAATCCATGAGGACGT